GTGCGGCAGTTCACTGAGTGCCTGGCGGCATATTTTGAGGGTTGGGAGGAGTTATCCCGAGACCTGTCGTGGGAGATGATTTATGTGCAGCACGCAGACAGCACGCCGATGACTGGCTGGCGGAGATGTGATGTCGTCAATTCCAATAATGTGAGCCGCGCTGAAAACCGAGAGATTGCGGCGTTCTGGGAGGAAGAGGTGCACCAGTACATAGCAGCAGTATCGTCGGACGATGCCAGAAGGAACGAAGCTCTCTGAAGTGAGGAATAACCACAGGAATAGGAGAACGAATTGGGGAATGAAAGGGGCAATTTTGTTTTTTGGTAAAGAAACATTGTGGGATTTATATATTTTTGGATGCTTGTGTGTGTGCATGCGGTGCGGGTGCACCAGCCCCAGGCGACGGTGTTAAAAAGTCAAAAATGTCCAACGCTATCGAACATAACAGTGGCAGAAGAAATTAGGGAGGGAAAGGGGTTGTTTGGCTTCTGGTGAAAAACATTGGGTGATTTCTACATGGTATGTTAGTTGTGTGTTTGTTATACGAGGCACAATTGGGGAATTGCCCCGGTATGAGGGAGTCATTGTGGCTGGCGGTGTCACGGTGTTGCTACATTTCTTTTCTTAGGAGCTTCTGAAGAGAATGATCGTGGGAGACCTGGCGAACTTAATTGATGTATATGTATCCTGGTAAACCTAATGCTCTTCTTTATGAGACTTTTCCTATCGTATGAATTTTGGGAGGGCCATGACCTTAAAGGGGATTGGGGAGCCGATGGCGGCCGGACAATTTTTTATTTTTATTTTAAGCTTACAGAAGCAGCCAGTTTGGTTTAAGGAAATGGCATTGGTTCCTTACACTGTTTCTGAGTGGTGTGATATTGGCGCCCGTCTCTGGGACCCGGTACGCCAACGTGGCGAAGCCCAGGTGCAGATAACGTTTATTAATGGAACCGAGATGTCGGATGCGACGTTAACTGTGGCTCCCCCATCGACAGGCTTACACTTGATTTTGGGAAACGTCACCAGGCCCTGGGAGGATTCGAGCCTTACAGGACATATTGCGAACCTCCGGGCGTTTCAAGTACCAAATTTTGAGAATCAATCGATCTTGCCCATCATGGGCGCAGCCCGGGAGTTGGGGCGCGTGGCAAGGGCTCATCATTGCCGAAAGGAAGCGCTTGAGCACGAAAAGCGCCCATGCCGCCGTGGACGTGCAGAATCGAAGCGTTCAGCCTCATTCGCAGGTGGAAGAGGCGCACAACAACCTATCGGCGCGCGAATCTGACATTGCGGTCGCCGGCAGTCTTTTTGCAGAACGAGAATGCGCGCTCGCCGGCCGCGAACAGCAGTTGGAGGTGACCCGCACGCAACTACAGGAACGAGAGGCGCGCGTTAGTGCGAGAGAGGCGCAGCGAGCCGTGTGGGAGGCGGAGACGGCGAGCCGGGAAGAATCCCCCACCTCTCGGAGAGGTTTGACAGATGTACCTGTCGCGTGTCACAATAAGGCCGAATACGGCGTTACCAAAAAACCACATTAAAAGCATCGCTTGATGGCTGTGGGCGCGTCGTCACGCACGGCCCAACGAACTCCGGCGCGAGAGAGACGGCCCCAGACGTCTCGGGGCAATTTTGGGTGACCGCATTTCCGTTCCTCGATGCCTTTGCCCTCCAGCACTTCTCCTTGGACGCCCATTCCGCTACAGGAAAAGAGGGGCGAATGTTCCGCGCATTCGACGACACCGCTTGGCCCCGCGTGTATGGGATGAGGGCGTTTCCGGAGTCTTTTCCGACCTCCGGGGCGCATACAATTATTGGAAACGAGCGGACCAGACCAAACTTGTATTTGACAATTTGGTTGCGTGGATGTGTGCGCTAGAAGCGGAGCGGTATCCCACCGATCGATTCATGAATTTTGGCGGGATCTTACTGCAGGCATTACGGATGCGGCTCATGATGGCGTCCGACCCCGGCATCCCGCTCTTCAACATTCTCGCCCGTCTTCGCGCCGCCGTTCATGAGGCTGACACCTTTGCGAGGGCAATCCGGATTCCCTTGGGACGAAGAGGGGCGCAAATATCGTTGCGATGCCAATTGTGTCATGTTCATGGACACGTAACATCTAAAAGCAACGTCCGAGACGCAGCCAGAGGAAGTCACTCGCAGCGCGGACGGCCCTCAAGAAACGGCCGGGGGGCCGCTTGCTGCTTCTTTTGAAAGCGGACAACGGCGGCTCCATCCATTTCACCACCTCCCACCAAGGCTCGCCGGCGTCGCACTGCACCGCCGACGCCCCACCCGATCCCTTAAATCGCCCGACGTAATCGTCGAGAAGGGCCATGGGGCTCATGCGCCAACGACGCTCGACTGTGGCGCGACGAATCGCCGACATCCCTGCTTTGGGCCGGCCGCGTGCGGATAGCGAACGGGGTGGCTCGAGAAGTGTGGGCGCCGTCAAAGTGGGAGCAGGGACCGTCCCTGACGAGACGATTTGCAGTGTTTTTGTCTCACGCACGAACAGCCAACGGGCGAGAAGAGCTGTGCGGCCTTTTGGCGGCAGTATTGGATGTGGCGCCGTCGGCCCGACCGCAGCGCGCCAGGATGCCGCGGCGCCCATGTCGCAGATGAACCAAACCACGCTGGCCATGGCGTTTCTGGGGTTGCAAAAAATTGCGGCGTGACCAGAGACGTGGCGGGCGCGCCCCCCGACAAAGGAAGGAGTGGATCGGTATATCCGCAGCCGGACCGATGGAAGGAACGTGTTGTCTTACGACTCGCGTGGATGCCGGCGAGCTGTTTGTCCGAGATTGCGGCCTTGACACCCAACAATGTCACGCTGGGGCCGGACGGGGCCATAGTTTTGGATTGGCCCGCGGCGCCGAAGACGGCGAGGGCGGATCTCCGCCGCGCCTCGCGGTTCGTCAGGATACGAGGGCAGGACGCGCCCGACACCACAAAGTTGTGCGGGGCACTTCGACACAGCGAAAAGCTCATGAATCCTAGGACTGCCCGGGTCGAACGAGCTGTGGCTCCTTGGAATGCCACGGCGCATTCCATAGAACGCGGTGTGTTGAGGCACGCTACTCGAATCGTGGGGACATACAATTCGGACCCACACGTGATCACGCAGTTGGCGGGACACGGTGGCTCGTTCGGCCTTCCCCAGGACACAGTTCGATATTTTGGGAGGCGCACCACAACGCTGACCCAGGTGTCGTCACTGGCCGCACAGGTGCGAAGGGAGACACCGCGGAAGGACAGGAACCCTGGTTGAGGGCGGAAAAGCGGTTTCCCATGATTTTTATCATTATTTTGACAAAACCGCAAGACGCGCCAAGGAAGCGTTCGGCCCCTCCACAAGAGGAACGAGCCATCCCGCTACAACAACCCAACGTGCCCGTACTGAAATTGGGGCGGAACAGAAGCCGGTTGAACCCGGCCACCCTGGAGAGGCTCATGCAAGTTTGGGGACTCGTCGGGCGGTCCCTTTTCCCTCCGTCTTCCTCCGGTAAAGCGCGCGGGAGCTCACGGAGGATTCCCGCGACCGGCGCGCGATTGGCGGAGGCGGGAATGGTCGAGGACGCTTCGTCTACAATAACGAGCGGCGGGTGCATAATACCTTTCTCGGTTGTGGAGGAGAAAATCGCTGCTTCACGACTGCGATGGATCGCGTGGCCGCGCGACAAGAACAGAGACGACCCTTGCGAGGCCAACGCTCCTCTTTCACACATCTTCCATTGTTTGCCGCCTGTGGTTGCTGAGGCCGCTTCCCGCCTGGACTTAAAGGTATTCTCTTCCCGAGTTTCTTTACCGCGGGAGACTCGGCATCTCTTTCGGTGCCGCGTGGAGGACGGCGCGCTGGTGGAGCCGGCACGGCTCCCAATGGGGCACAATGCCGGCCCAGAAACTCTCCAGATCATTATTAGCTCGGCATTCGCGGGGCGACGCCGGTGGTTCGCCCCCTCTGGGCTGCACCTCCATCGGTGCGTGTCGGCGTTTGGATCGATGATATACGCATTGCAGGGTCGAAAAGCGATGTGACATTGTGGGAAGCCAAGTGCTTCGTAATGCGGATGGCCGTCACGCCACGATGGAGGAACGCGAATCGGGCGCCACGCATTACACCCTTCTGTGGGCGCAATTTGATCACTCACCGGGCGGTATCCCTGAGTGAGAAGTTTGTCCGCTCTGTGCGCGCCATGCCGGCGCTTAATTCTTTGACCGTCGCGGAAATGGAGGTTATGGCGTCACGTTCTTTGTACGCGTCGGCCATTTTGGGCACGCGTTTATGTGCCTACTACTTTTTCATCAAGGCAGTGCGACGACGATTATCCGCACTTCACCAAGGGATTGTGCTGGAGACATCCCCGGCGAACCTTCCGCCGTCAGCGGTTGGTTTGGGCGAGGGCTTACGACACATGATCGAGAATAATTGTGGGTGAATCATCAAGCCCACAGAAAAGGCGTCTGTCGCCACCATCACGGATGCGTCGTTCCGTGGACGGGGAGCCGTTTTTATTCCAGACCCCGGCGACGTTAAAATTGCCGGATGAAAATGGAAGAGGAAGTCTTTTCTATTATGCAGGCCGAGGCGCGCGCCGCTCTTAGCCCCATTGGCGAGTGGAGCGTTTATCGCGCAGTGGGCCCGGAGGCTCTTTTGCCATTCCATCGTTTTCCTCGTGGACCGCCACCCCGCAAAGTCGCAACTAAAAAAGTACCGCGAAAAAAGACAACGGAACGCCAAAAGCCAAAGAACGGATGTTCAGAACGGCAAAGCAAGCAGCAGCAAACGCGCAGGCATCTCCCTCCCCGCAGTCGGTGAAAGAGAGGGCGAGAGAAGTCATAATCCTCAAACCTCAGAAAAAAAAAAATAAATAAAGGGGTAAAGGCTCCCAACCTGTACGGCGTGAGCGCTCTTTTTACTGAGAGGCAGTCCAAGCGAGTGTCTTTTGTGAGGAATAAACAACAACAACAACAACAAAAAACATACTTTATTTTGCTTACTTATTATCCATATTTAAATCATTGAACTTTTTTTCTTTTCTTTTTTTTTTTGTGAGAAACCCGTCCGCGCCATCTTCAATCAAAGTGACTCCATCTTGACAATCGTCCTGCAGTAATGCCAGGAGAAGTGATGGGTCCATCCACCATGGCACAAGCAGACGGCCACCATCTCGCACATCACACTCTGTACCGACAACAATCACCAAACCAGTGTCTTCCGGGGTAACCGTGCGGGTCTTACCCGCTTTGCCCTCGAGAATCCCACGCACCCCCGCTGCTGCGCAGAACACCTTCACAAATGAAAGATATTGCGGGAGTGGAAGTGCGGGATCTCGCATGACATAACCAACTCCAGCCTCGTCCACAATTCGGTGGCATTCACTGTTAAGCGAAGACTGCTCCACAACGTCTTCTAGCCATTCGCGGAATGCGGAGCCGCTTTCCAACTCCTTGTGTGTGATAACAGCGTCATCTGCCCCATCCCCCGCTTCGCCCATCCATCCTCCAATTAATTCTTCATTGAATGAGTTTTTTTCAGGATGCAAGGCATTTGGATGTGGCTTATACGGTAGACAATTATAATACACATTAATGGGATGTATAGCAGGAGCGTGTTGCGCCAAATAGATGCGGTTCTCATGCAACATCTGCCAGTACTTTAGTTCCTGTGCAGTATTCATGGAGAATACACGCGGAAAGCAATGAATTGTCCCTCGATAAAGATATTTCATGTGCTTCTTCGCCTCTTCCTCATTATTATCCTCACACGGAGCGTGTTCGACAAAACAATCGGAGTCTTTTGAATGCGTCAACTCTGTAGTTGAAGCCCAATTCCCTTTTTTTTTTCTTGGTGCCTGACATGTTCCACTCTTTCCTTGTTCCACTTCCCTCCCTTCCGTCAAGGGAGATGTATTCTCATCACAGCGTGGATTTGATTCACGTGGAATGAATTCCTCATTCACCACCTTTTCCCTTATCGCAAGTAGTTGTGGCAGTAAAGAATGGGCATACTCGGCTTGCTCCTTCACAATTTCCATGGCAGCTACCAAACGACTAAGAAATTCTCCAACGTCTTTGGATAACTTGACGGCAACATAAAATCTTATCATTTCAGCCGTGCAACATGACATGTGACGCGTGACTACAATGTCTTGATTCATCTCATCTCTTTTGATACACCTCCAGAAAAGATCGTCTCCGTCCCCTACAGCCACCTCCTCGGTGCTCTCTACTAACGGGGTCTCACTGTCCCAAATCAAAGTGATGTTCCCTTCAATATACGACGTGGTCACACGAGCCAAATGCTGGCAACGACGGATTCCATCCGCAATCCGTTTTTCATCAGCTTGCTCTTCTTCTCCCCCTTCATCACTGCCACACGCGTCCCGATTTTCATGAGTGGGTTCATCGCAATGGTAGCAAAACCCACACACAATTTTTTGTAGCGTGAGAGAAACCTTCTCTGAGACCTCCTTTGGCAGATGCAGGTGATGCATGACGGTCAGGGGGTGTTCAGTCAGGTCCAACATCCCAGAAAGCAAAGAGGTGGTATCTACCATCGCCAACTCGAGTTGCAACCTCTCATAACTTGCCGCTTCCCACCTTCCAATTTTCTCTGTGATCTCACCAATTGAATCGGAGGGGTAAATGGTGCATTTCAGTTCCTCACAGATTTTTATTTCCTTTTCGGACATCACGCCACACGTGCTTTTAACCTCCTCGTGGGGGTCGAATGACGCCTGGCCATTCTCACGACTCTGTGCCGCAAAAACCTCTGCTTTTGACTTCGGTTTCTGACTAAAGAGGAGGGCCCCAACAAGAACAAGCGGCTTCATTGCCATGTCCTCAATGCGCTGCTGGCAAGGTCGACTGCCTGTCCCGAACCCGGAGTTTGCCTGGTTCCGCGTGTAGCGCACAGTTTTCTTTCGCCCCTTTACCACCCGATTGACGATGATGGGGAGGTTCCTCGAAAAGCGTAGAACGCAACGAGACATCGCCTCAACATAGCGAGCATTAAAGAATGCCACTGCCTCAAAAAGGACACATGATTTTCCACAAAGCACCTCTGGAAGCTCTTCGCAAAACTGTTTCACACGTCGCATGGCGAGAGCCTCCCGTTGGCAGACGGACGAGACATATTCCAATGAATGGGACGAAAATGAGTCATGCCGCTCCTCCGCGTGATGTGCCTCGACACCACCACCGCCACCACTACGAGTGGCGTCTCTGCAGTGGTGGTACGCCGCGATGGCGTGACGTAGCGCATCCAGCACGCTTTGAGAATCGTCCAAGGGAACATTTTTCATTGTCATCCCCGCATGGAGTTTCATTTCAAGTGATTTCAACGCCACACGGAGGGCCTCTGAGAGACGCCGGAACTTCTCTGTCGCGTCGGGATCATCGGGATGTAGGTCGGGGTGACAACGCAGCGTCTGCGCAATGTACGCCTTCTTCACCCGGGCGTGTGAAATATCCGACAAGGAAGATGACGGCAGACCCAACGTCGTGAGCGCGACTCGAGGGGTCATGACGCGGATCCATGTGTTGCGTGACAACATTTCCTCTCGTTTTGCTTCGAATCGTGTCCCTTCTTCCCGATTCCCACTTCCCCTGCAACTCCCCACGCCGCCTCGTCTCGCCCTCTCCCCTCTTACACGCTCGGGGTCAAGCGGCGGCTCAGAGAGAGAGAGAGGGAGGGGATAAATCAGCAACAACAACAAATGGGATGTTGGGAGAGACGCCGTCACAGAAAAAAGAAAAAAAAACGCCTACAGTAACACAGAAAAGATGAGCGTGCATTCATATTCATGCAAGGTAGAAAAAAACAAAAAAACAAAAAACAAAACAAAAAAGCATGACACGAGAAACAGACATCTTCACTAACCCCTTTTTTAGTTTTCTTCTTCTTCCTCTGTTTCTCCATCCTCTCCGTCTGGGATGGCGGAGTGAAAAAACACTTTACTCGATACAAATGCCTCTTCCAAGGCGGTGTACTCACGGATAGCGTAGTCCACCATTGTGGCAGTAAGGTGCATATTGTTGATTTCCTCTTCCTCATGCGAGGCGTCTCTTCTCTGAGGCTTCTTTCGCTTCTGTGCCTCCTTGGTGCGTTCTGCAATGCCTTCCTGCATCGTGAGAAGGCGCTCCACATAGTGCTTCCCCACACTTTCAAACCAGTGAAGCGATTCGAACAAGTCTGAGAGGCCAAATAATTTAAGTAGGAAGGAGCATCCAAGAGCAAACCCGTCATCGGTGAATATCCCATCCTTGTTCTTTTTAACAAGTTGCTCCTTCTCACGTATCATAAGCTCCACATGTAAGACGCAGATGGGTGGGATAATCATGTGGAAATTCCTTAGGTGCTCATACTTATCTGCGTCCTTCAGCCGCTTCGTTACCGCCTCAAGAAGCATTCGGAAATACTCGGAACCATCCGACAGTTTCATGCGCATGTTGTGAATGACACTATCAACAACGCGAACGGCCTCCACTGTGGAGGGTGGTGCCTTGTATGCCTCCTCATCCATGCCTTCTTCCTTCATCATTTCCACCTCTTCTTCCTCCTCGTCGCTTCCAATGGCATCTGGGTCAATGACACGCTCCAGGCGAACAACATTGTCAATGAAGGGGATGAATACAGCGGCATCCGCGATGGCGCGAAGCCCACCACTACGCATCATCCGCATGTACCCAAGTGCGTTGCCAATTTCGGAGACAAGGTGACGGAATTTGTCCAGGAACGTTTGCCCATCATCTGCAACACCCAACTTGTGCATCTCTCGGATGAAATTCTCTGCTCGTGAAAGCGGGTACTCGCCGTTAAGTTCCTCTTTGTGTGCAATGAAGAATTTTGCGTCTTTTATAAGCCTCGATTTAACATGATCATCGTATAGGAACTGTGAGAGAATCGCAAGCTTCTTCAAAAGACATTTATAGACATAATTGACGGTTGTGTTCATGATGCCGGTGCCATGGGTTCGAATAGAGTTGGCAATATGACGAATATGTAGTGTGTGAAGATGCTTGGATTCCGTTGTCGATGGTCGCTGCACAAAGAGTTGTTCGTTCATATTGTATGTATAATTAGCTACAAACACCTGAATATTCTCTGTAATTACAAGAACATCCAATCCTTGATCGACAATACTTCCAGGCAAGTACCCATCACATATGCGTAGCCCGTAACGTACTAACGCCAAATTCCGCATCTCCTCGTAGGTTTTCCAATCATTTGCCATGAGTGCATTAAGGTTGTAGAACTGCGCATCTAGATAGTGTTCCACCTCGGTTGCGATGTGAAGCCATTCATAAAAGAAACGAAGAGGTGGTAGGCGTGTGAAACATCCAACATCACACTTTCTCCCCGCCGCATCCACCTTACGGAATGGCTGGCCCAGAACCACGGAATGCGTATACAACCGCAGGTCATTCTCAATGTCTATACAAAGAGTTTTAATTAGATGATTTTGAATACACTTCTGTATATAGGAGATGTACGCATCGAGTAGAGTATGAGCATCCTCTACATGCCTTGATGAGAGAATGGATGTTCGACAGTCATGCATGGCCATGAGAAGATATGGCAAATAGTTTGACCTCAGCGGACGCTGATACATTCTTTCAAAGAAGAGAGGATAAAACGTTTCCCGATGCCAGTACAAGAAATCACAATCAGTGGCCACACGTAAACTTCTCTGATAGAAGACCAATCGATGAAGTTGAGAAAAGGCAATTAAAATATCCTCGTACTTCTTTTGTGCCATGGCAACCGAGCCATCCTTCACCTGACACCGATTAAAGGCGGTACTAAGGACAAGGTCAAGACACACCAGATTTTCAGCTGTCTGTGGTTTATGGAGGAGTGCGATGGCTTGCCGAACAGCACTGTATTGATCCGTCACGTCTTCTGAACTCGTTTGAATGACATCTCCAAAACGCAAGTACATCTCATAGAGATGTCGCTCCATTACATATGTAATGGAACTTATCAGCAGATTGTATGTTGTCGCGATCACTCCCGTCTTGGCATGGAAAGCGGCCCGAATCATCATGAGCAGCTCAACTCCATGGGAAACACAATCAACGTGCTGAAGGGGGATCGCAACGTCCGCACAGTTGTGCAGCACGATATAATTAATAACGAGTCGTTGAATGTGTTCCGCCAGAAGTATACCGCGTTGCACCAACAAGGCAGTATCATGGAGAAATGCCTTGTAGTGTGACGGATCCACGGGAAGGGTGGTTTCCATCTCGGCAATCCATGCACTTACCGAAGTAGTCAGTTGATTCAGCTGTGGCAAGAACTCCATGCCACTTTTTTCGCATGCCTTTTTAATAGCAGACATTCCTTCTTTGGATGGATCCCACAGGTGACGGTTTAATTCGTCGGGCACACGGCGGGACAACCACATCAAAGGGCGAAACAAATGGAAACCATGAATATATATAACAGGTATTTGAAGATGCAGATGAAACACCCGTTTACACAGATCGCGTCTTGTCACCTCGTTTGCTGCCTGCTGAAACAGATGGAGGTGGAAGTAGTACATTCCAAGAATACCAATGTACTGCCGTCGTGCATTACCCTCCCGTGGGGTTCCCACCTTTTCCTCCACTGCGCATATCAAGTGATCCAAGACTTCCGTGAACTCGGCGCAGAGCCTATTATTTGTCGTCACCGACACCTGCTCCTCTGGCACTTCATAGGATTGCATAACTAAACGCTGGAGAACCCCGTCATCCAGTAGTTCCTGATCAATCTTATTCAGCAACCGACAGAACAATTCCATCGTCATATCATCGCAATCAAACTTATCACGATTCCTAGACACATGCGCAAGCAGCTTGCGATAGGTGGAAAGACCATGACGAAGGGTGTCATGCGTCTGCAGCACCTCCTCCACACTCAACAGGGCGGAAAAAATGTCTGTCAGGGAACGCCACACGCGCAAAAAACGCACATGCGTAAATGGGCGGTATTTGTCACGCTCACGCAAGGGCGAGTAGAGGGCAGCCAACTGCCGAACCGTCTGTTGTACCACCCGCCTCACCCGCTGCACCCACTTCCAGAGATCCTGGAGCAAACCCAACATACGACCAGCGCCTCGTTGTGCCTCCTCATCCGTAATGTCTACTTCAAGGCAGCTGTCGTCCCCAAACATCGCCAGGGGTGGAATCAAAACATCGAACGCCTCCTCAGTGAGGGCGTCCATCTCCAGGACAAGACCCGCAAAACAGAGCGTGATACGATAAAAGAGACGATTGTGCAATTGGCTGCGCCCTAAAGTGTCGGCAATGGAGGTGGTGAGTTGTCCCTGCCGCGCCGCCTGCGCACCCAATTGAAGCGAGACGGTGTCCGTGTGCGGGTCCCACAACACGGGATCCCAGCGGCAGTCAAATGTCTGCTCAATCTCCATGAGCATCTTCTCATGCCCAGAGACAAAAAAATGCAGTTTGTCTTGAAACGCTTCCCACTCATCTTTCCCAATGTCTACACCAAAGTCTATGGATGTGAGCATGAGGACGTCGAGTTTTAACACCGACTGGAACCCCCCCTTTTAAATAATAATAATAATAACAGGGACTTTGAAATATCTCCTTGTAATAACGGGACACACACGTGTATCAAACACCCAACTCACAACACACACGCAGATCCTAAAAAAACAACAACAACAACAAAAAAGAAGCAAACAAGCAAAAAAAAAAAACGACGATGATTGTGGAGTGCAGTGATTGCACCGCATTTTCTGAATGCGGGTTATCGTACGGCGGCAGCAGGAGCGATAATAGCAATGCCAATGCACACACACACACACAGAGGCAGACACACGAACGCATATACACAGAGACACACAAATGGGTGATACTACTGCACCAAAGTTGGGGAACTACGTGTCGTACTCACGGCCTTCATAAGACTCTCCTCCCACCCCACCCCATACACGGCCCAATTCCTTCCTTTGTACAGCAATCCCGATACCTCCTTGAATGAACAAAAAGAAGAAGAAAAGCAACAACAACAACAACAACAACAACAACAACAGGAAAAGAAAAAAGAAAGGAAAAAAAAAATAACATAAAAGTCAAAAAAAAAAAAAAAAAGAAAAAAGATGAGAAAAGAAAAAAAAAAAAGGGTAGGAAAGGTGGGATGAAGGGGGGAAAAAAGGACAAGTCTAAAGCCAAAGCAAACAAATGATATTTTGATTTTCGTTTTCACCAATCGGCCTCCAGTTACCACTACCAACAAGTCATAGCACACCAACGGATCCATCATCATTATTTACCTCAATCCTGTTTTTTTTTTTTTTTTTTTGACTTTTATTTTTTACGGCGACGATGCTAAGAAGTTTCGGGGAATAACGATCGTGTGTCATGCTTCTTCATTTGACAATTCCGTTTCTTCCCATTCTTTAGGCGACGACAAAAAAATCAATGGGAAATCAATGTAGAGATAAATCCTGTCCGTCCTTCTTTCTTTCCTTCCCTCCCTTCTCAGGGGGAATTTGAGGGGGTGGGTGGGTGGGCGCAATCGAGGAGTCGTGTACCCGTCGCCCTG